ATATAAAATTATAGTGTACACTGTATCTGAGCTAGGAATTCCAAATAGGATTTCACATTCTGTTACTGTCTGAAAACATTTGAAACTTATCCTGTATATTGTACCTAACCTGAGAATATTAAAAGTTTGAGTAAAACTATTTACTGTATTTATGMGATTACTGTTAGTTCAGTTGTTAACTTCCATATTTACTTGAAGGGAAGAAAAAAGAAAAAAAGAGGAAGTCTATGTTCACCTCCATTTCTGTGACTGGGAAAAAGAAGTTTAAATGGCAATCCAGGATTTGCTAAATTAAAAGGGTGGACTTGAAAAGAAGAATGATTTGGGACATGATGTGGAAGAAAGAGTTATGCTTATAGTGTGAAATGTGGAAGTGAATTTATGCAAAACATCATAAGAGAAAACACAGTAAATAATAGAATACTAACTGGTGGTTGGAAAAAAAAAATACAGGACTGGGAAAAATTATTGGGACAAGTATGACATACTCCAATAGCAAGTGATAGTGCTGTGACTAACACYCTCACTCATCTTTCCAGTACAGTGTGTTAGGGAATACTAATAGAATACAGCTTGAACTGATGTGAATGAAACAGCARCTTAACTGTATATCTAGAATCCCARTACAGGACATCTGAGGGAGCACTTTAGTCTTGGATAGTAAAATTAAAAAATCCCAGGAAATCAAAGGAATTTGGTAAGCATTCAGATATAATGATATATAGCCGGTAATTAGGACTTCAGCTTATATATACTTACCTTGTCTAACAACCACTGTAAGAATAGAACTATGATATATTTTTTGTGTCCTCACCTGTACATTTTTTGTTATCCATCAATCTGTATATTTTCAAGATGAAAGAAAGGAGAAGCTGAAATACTGAATATAAAAGGAAATTCCAGAACGGTGAAATCCAGTGAAAACCTACACAACAAAGTGTTGCAGTCTCTGTCATATTCTGACCGGTAACTGTATAATGTCTGAACTGGCTTATTTTTCAACATGCCAGTCAAATATGAAAGTTTGAAATAGCAGCAATTACAGCTTGTGCAGTTGCTGTCATTTAGTGCAAAACCATAGATGTGTTTCTTGTATTTTCATCTATCTTAACATCAGAWACACTAAAAAGACTGTTAGTCTTTTCTTCTTTATAGTAGTTGTAGATGGAAGGACAGAATGATTCTGTCATTCAGGTTGTATTATCAGTACACATCTCTACACCAGTTTGCAAACATTTGGAAAGAGTAAACCAGATGAACCATTAAATGAAATACATGGGATACTGTTTAAAAAAAAACCAGTGTCTTGTTTGTATATTTGAGTTTTGTAGTGTGACTGAAAATTTGCCATCCTGGATGCAGTTCCTGTTTTGGAATATATCTGCTTCATTGTAGTATACTGGCCCATGCATACTACTCATCAGTAATGGATGGGAAAGGAAAGAATGTGAAAGACAGGGTAAATGTAGATTGGTTTGGGTTTTTTTAACTCATGCTGTTTGCTGCTGGTAGAACATAGTTTAGGTTTTCCTGAGAATGAGATTGTAAAAAACAAGTCATTATACTTAGTAGAATCTAATGGAGTTCTGTACCAAACTTCTGTTTAATCTTTTGAGCCCACTTCTGCTTTCAGCCTCCACAATTATTCTCTAGCAATATGTTTCACTACATAGTTTTGTATTTGTAGAGCAAGGGAAAAAAAAGATTCTAAAATTAAAATTTTTATATTGGATGTATTTCCCAATTCCTGTGTTTGTGAAACAGAGAGAGAATTACTACCTCCTTTCCACATTTTGCGTAATTTTTTTCAGCTTTTTAAGTCTTGATTTGTTTGTCTTGTACTCTCATTCGCACTGAAGGCTGGAGTTTTAGCCTATTGCATATGAAAACTATTGATTATTTATACTGACTTCTCTCTCAGATTACTTTTATCCACTGCTGCAAGTTTCAGAATTGTGAGGGTGTGGCAGAATACTGCCATGACATGGTGATGTTTCCATTTCCTATTTCATTCTTATTCAGTTTTGAATTGTGACTTCTCTGACTATTGCTGTTGGGCTAGGGAGGTGTATATTTATGGGATCTTTGAAATGATTTTGTAATGATGCAGGGAAGTGCTGTTCATTGACACCATGGCTGGGGTACATAATCCTCAGTCATCTGTCAAGATAACATTATTGAGGGAAAGTAGCTGAACTTAATTTAGAAACAGTTAAAATGGGACTTACAGGAAATATCAAGATGCAATTTCCTCCTATTCTACCTGTCTCTAATGTATATTGGAAGAATAATGAAAGTTCTACCCAATTTACTTTACATCATCTCTGAAAGGTTCATGTTGCCAAGAGTAGCATTTATATGTGCTCACAAGTTGGTTACAGTGACATAAATAACTTTATTTTGTGTGGAGAAGGCTGGGGAAAGCTACTATATGATTTAGAAAGGTATTGCACTGAGCATCAGATCAGAGTTTGTCCTGTGTATCTCCTGAAGTSACTCAGTGCTTTAGCTCTGATTCTGAAGAACCGGAATTTTGGTCCTTTTCTCTGCATTGTATGTTCAGGATTTGACTAAAGAAAAAGATGGAGTTTATTTCTTTCAGTAATTGCAATTGTGTTGTGTAGATCTCTTGTTAATAAAACTCTTTTTAACAATTAAATGTATGTACAAGTGGAATGTAWCTGCTGCACTCAGGAGTTCTGCAAGGTACCTGTTGCCTTAGGGCACTGTGAGGTTTTGTCTGTAAGGGTTTTTTTGGTGTTAATGCAGTTTCTGGTGTRCTGGGGTCCTCATCATGGATTGGATCTGTTGGCTCCAGTACWAGTGGTGTGTGCTTAATGCCTTCTTTGCTTCAAAATAAGCACCTCGTAATTTTTTTTGCGGTAAATTGAAATGTGCAGGGGGGTTGAAACAAAGACAAAAGTTGTGCTCAAAATCAGGGAACTAATCCATCGGGATGTTGTTTGTAGAGTATTGTTTAAAGGTAATGTGTTGTCTAGTCAGTGAGTCACAGGCTGTGGAACTCTCTGCCACAAAGGATGATCCTGGGTCTTCAGGGGAGAACAGCAGCTACATAGATACTGTGGGGGAGGTGGGATACACACCTACTCACACTGTTATCTAGAGAAAAATCAGAGGCACAGAATGTGCTCAGGAGGTCAAGCTAGGCAGATCCCAAAAAGATCAGTGTTGGAAGCAGAAAGACTTTGGATGTAACTTTCCTGTTGCCAAACTGCAAAGCTGTTTGGGTTTTCTAGTTGCCTTTCTGCATTATAAATACAACAGYGCAGTGATGCATACCACACCACAGAGAAAAATATAAATGAAGTTTGTGTCCAATACACCTCAAAACTTAAAATATATAAAAATAAATCTCACAACAAGAATTCTGGTATCATTGTTTCATTTAAAATAAAACTGGAGGAGTCAACAGTATACTAACAACAACAAAGTAAAGCATGAAGGGCACTTACATCTGTTTGGAAAAATAAATTTTTATTTCGCTGTTTRGGCTGAAAAAAATTTGACTTCATGTCCTTTATTCAATTCCTCTATGTGGAGTGGACTTAACAGTATTTTAGAAGACATATTTCTGAAGTCTTGAAAAATTAATTTTCAAATTTGCTGAATGTTGTCACTGCTTTGTCAGGAGAGTGCTATTTTGCTCAACTGTATATATGGTAATAGTTATGTATTTGTACATTTGTACATTTCTAGGATTACTGAAATTAAATTGGAATGTATGAAATCATTCCACCACCAGTTGCTGTTAGAGTCGGGGACAGATCCATTGCATGAACAGGGGAATTTCTTGTCACATCACTTAATGATCAAATTCTTGTCCTAGGGAGCCTCCAACACTGTTACAGGACAATAGTAGGAAAGGGTTCTTTTCCCTATCAAGGAAGCATAAAGGGAAAACTATGCCCACTTACAAAATGAGTTTGGCAAGTCATAGGGACGTTTATGAATATTGGCAGCAAAAGCACAGTCTCTTATGTTTTTGTTTATTATTAGGCAAAAAGGTGTTAAGTCAAGCCTGCCTTTTGGGTTTTTTGTGTTGCGGGTTTCCTGGGGTTTTTTTTCCTAACTTTGTCATCATTTTAGCTTGTGGTTATACTATTTTTATGTTGGGTTTTTTTTTCCTAACTTTGTCATCATTTTAGCTTGTGGTTATACTTCCTCACCAGCTTTAACAGATGTACATTGCTGGGTGCAGCCTTCCTTTTTTTCAGATCTTTTACTTGACCATTTTGGTTTAATCTGAGGATGTTTTTGATAATGAAGATGTATCTGCCATGTGTTATTTTGGTATCTTATGTAAATAAAGACTTTCGTGGAAAGTCTTAACCTAATGTAAAGAGTCTTCTCTCTCTCAAGGATACTGTTGAAGCACTGAAAGCAGTACAGCTCTCTCACAACATTTTATGGCGAAAAAACGTTGAGTATAGTGCAGGCTATTTATGGATCAAGCTTGGCTGYATTCCATAGGAGAGATTTTTCCTGTAATTCTGTACTGGCATGTATGAAAACATTGTCATCCTTTTTGTAAGAAGTTATGAAGGAAAACCAAATCTTTGAGAAATTGTCCTGATGGAAAGCATTTACTATGATTTGTCAACACAGATATGTCTGTTAATTTCTGTATGTTGATAATAGCTGCTTGTTGCACTGCTGGTCACCTCTGTGGCAAAGATCTTCTGCTTCTTTGTATTCTTGTAGTGTCTGACCTTTTCAAAAGTGATTTTGAGAGTGACTTCAACAAAGAAGGTTGTCTAAAATAAATAAATAAATAAAWAAATAAAATTTTAAAAGCCTTTTTGCTCTTGTGGGGAAAGCTGTTGCTAGAAGGTTAATATTTTAATAGTGATCTATGTAGGAAATTACGAAGATATCAAATTCTAATACAATATCAAAAATTATGAAATTGGGATAGTATCTTGCTGTAAAATTATGACTAAACACTTTTGTTTTAAATTAGCAACTGCTTCTTTTTTCAGGAAATTTGGAGAGCGACCTCAACCGAAACGGCTCACAAGGTAAGCATTAAAGAAACTTTGTATTTAACAGCTTTCTGAAGTTACCCTTTTCATTCGCAGAAAAAATAAGTTAAAAATTTGTGGGTTGCTAACCCTAGAATTCTAAATAGCAAAGCTTTTAATTATATATGTAATCAGCAGCCAGATGTACAATTTTTGACAGAGTGGTGTATTTTTAATATGAAGGTCAAAATGCATTTTTAAAAATGGTGTTGACTTTACATATCAGTTATTGCAGATTATTCAGTAGGATGTGCATCTGCTTATTTTTTTAATCTTCGGGAATGAGCTGATTTGTTTCTTGGGTAACAGTGTCTTGTGAGGTCATCTAAATTAACATTTTTTTGCTGCCAGAATTGAAAACAGTGCAGTCAAGGAGTGATCTTAACCAATTTTTGGTGAAAACCAAATAATCAGAATATCAAGTAGCACTATCAAGTCAATCCATTCTGGGAGGTGTTTAGAGTGACTGGGGTACAGTGCTTGATTTTTCCCTGGCCTGCCTGGGAAGTATTTACACCATAAACTGCTCAGTAGTCACTTTCTTTTTTGCAAATTACAGCAACACAGTCTATGCAAAGATTTATTATTCTGTGCCACGAACTGTGCCAATTATAATTAGCTCCTGACTTTAAAATACACTTTTTGCTTGAAAGCAAAAAAGGATATGCCATTTGTGTTAGAGTTCTGTGTGGTGATAGAGGAAGCCCCTTGTCACCCTGACAATCTCTGTTTTAAATGAAGTGATACCTTATGTTAGCACATGGGTTGGGAGGAGCATTTGCATTTTGTGTTGTGAATATCTGCCTCACTGCATTTCTGGATAAGTTTTAGGTTAGCTTRTCATCATTTCAATGCAAAATTGCAAGTAATCGAATAAACATGTTTAGTTTCTTGTTGGCCTGTCAGTCTTGAGGGATATTTGAAGATACTATGTTTTAAGTAATGAGCTACTTTCCATCTTCAGTAGTAACACCAGTTACTATCATCCTGAAGTTACTCATGTAATTTTTCTTTGGTTTTTTTTTGAAAATGAACAAAAATAGAATGTATCTTACATGATTTTAGAAGAGCAACCAAAAAAAAGACTATGCAATGAGAACTTTTAATTAAGTTTTCTATTTACTATAATTACTCTAAATTTCATGTGCAGGGTTTCAGCTACTAGGTATGCTAGTTACTCTTTCGTGAATGCAGGGTTTCAGCTACTAGGTATGCTAGTTACTCTTCGTGAATGCAGGGTAGGCATCTGATAAATGCCATCCATCCTTCAAAGCAGCAGTTTGAAAACCATTCCTGTGATGACAGAGGCTAGAAACAAGCAACCTAACCTCCCTCTGAAGAGTAAACTCATGAAACAGAACAGCTGTCACACGAATTTTTAAGATTTATTTGTTTATGTCATGCTGAAAAYGTATCTGTAAATCCTTAAAAGCATTTAGTTCAATTCTTGGAAAATTGGTGTGGCTTTTTTGTTTACGTTTAGTCTGTTCACTGTCATGCAAATGAAGAGTTTTAAGATTGGATAATTAAAAATGTCATGTAAGATATCAGTGGGAGGGATTGGAGGGGAAACATCACTTGTTCTCACAGGAGTTTAGATTGTACAAATCCAGTATAGAAACAGAGTAGTAGAAAACAAATTTTCTTTCTCATACGATGCTAAATAAAGATTAGATAGCACCAAGCAGTTTTCTGTGTGGGTTGCTGAGTTTAGGTAGTTTTTTTTATAGTAGTCAAGTAAGAAGTTTTCAGTATGACAGATGTTCTTAATTTAGTATGGTAATACTCTTAACAGAATATTTTAAATTGTCAGATTAAACGTTTTTAAACAACTTAAATGCAGCTAATACATATCATAATGAAATGTATAATAATAATTTCACAGTGAATTATGTTTTGTGGTTTAAAATATATTCCTAAACAATGGCTGTAAATAAGTAAGTCTGTGGGCTTTGAGACAGTTATTACAGCCGTACTTTCATGGATAAACATAAGTTTTACCAATGTCAAATGTAAATAGTTGAAGTTAGTCCAAATTTAAAACAGCAATTCAAGTCTTTTCTCTGTTCTTTTATCATGCTATTTACACAGAAAATTGTCACCCTAATCACTAGACATTAATCATGTCTTATGCAGGCATGASAAACACAAGAATTTGCAAAACTTCTTTAGCAAAGCTGAGTTGTTGTTGTCYAACCCAACCATGGCTCAATCTACTTGCTTTTTTGTATGAAATTGTGTGTGGGGATTTCTTCTGGAAAAAGTCTAGTCAATAAAATACTGCTTTTTATCTTCCATCACTTTTTCACTAGAAATGTCTGGTTTTCTAGATCTGTCCTAAGGGAATACAATAGTTGGCGCAGTTCACAGAAGAAAGAGAAAAATTCCAACAACCAAACAAAAAATCCTTCTTATGTTGGGTTTTAYCTTTTCATATAAATTCCTGATAAATTTATAATTAATTTCTCTGGTAGATGACTTTGAAGATGAGTGCATTGCTGGGCATTCAACCCACAAAAGCTCCTTCAGGAACTTGTGTTCCTGCCAGCACTCTAGCACAGCTGATCCCTAGGGTGTTGAATTTGGCATGCTGCTTAATGAACAGTTAGACTATTATACAGAAGAGTGATTGGGTGTTATTGTTCTCTCTCTTCTCTCAAGGAATTGTTGTTGGTATGTTTGAGGTAATTACAGCATTTATATAACATCTGTAATTACAGTGATGATGAACAATAAAAAATTCTTTTTAGTGATTTTTTTTACCTGATTATATTCAGGAAGTAGATGTTTTCTCTAGAAAACTAAGTGAAACAATATGCTGGAGAGTAAACTTTTTCTTAGTTATCTTCAAAACCAAAAGAAAACTTGCATATAAGCATTCTACTGATTTGGTTAAAAGCTTATATAGTTTGCCATTATCATAAATTGGTCGTGAAGAAAATACTTTGTAAATTGTAAATGATCACAGACCCCATATTGTTAGTTTCATGCACGATAGTTCTTTTTCCTTTGTAATTGTCTTAAACACTAAACAAGCATATCTTGACCCTGCGGTAATGCCCTTTTCGGAATTTCAGGTCCTTGGGGTTTTTTCCCCTAAAGATGTCTTTGTATTGTTATAAACAAAACCAAAAGAACTTTTGAAGTTTATATTGTTTTGATTTTTTAGGGAAGCAATGCGAAATTATCTGAAGGAGCGAGGTGACCAAACAGTGCTAATACTCCATGCAAAAGTTGCGCAGAAATCATACGGGAATGAAAAAAGGTGAGTTTTTATGTTTTCCTGAAGTCTCTCTACAGCTGCCAGCTAAGGAAACTGTGGYGTATAGTCAGGTGCACAGCACTTTGCAGAATCCTGCAGATTGCACTGTAGTCTGAAGAAACACAAAATGCTTCCTCCTAAATAATTTAATTATGTAGCAAGAGCTGCAGACCGGTAGCATTCAATGAGAGTGTTGCTTGTTTCTACCAAGAGGCTCCCTTTTGAAAGGCAAAGCTTTTCTTCCATTGAACTAAAATCACTCTCATTTTAAACCTTCCATTTTAATTCTGGAATATATGAGGTGATCAATGGTGAATATTTGTAGAGGAGTTTTTTCCTGAATAATTTCAAATTATTAGACAAGAGAAATTGCTAGCCTCAGTAAGATAATTTTCTCAATCATATCTGTAATAGGTTTAAAAAAAATGATGGGTAAGTCATGACTATATTTATGATGAATATCCCCTTGCAAAAATCCATACAGTACATGYTACAATTATAGGTACTTTTGTAAGGGACAGAATCTGCAAGAATATGTGAGAATACTTTTTAGGCAAAGATGCTTTTCCTGCTGTCTTCTCTTGCAGTCTTCTCTGTGTCATGTTTTTGTTGCGTGACTAGTAGAAGCAAGTAGGTTACTCCTTTACATGCAGGTTTCTRGACTTGTTATGATGCAATACAGCCTTCTTTAATTGTAAGTGATGCTTTTCTACCAGACGTTTCACTAGAATAGTRTGGTATTCTGTTAGTTTTCAGATACTTTGCATTATTAATACATGTTCACCATAAAAAGACCACATGTTCAGCACATTAATGGTTTTGAAGTTTTAATCTTTCTTTTCCCACCATTATWTAAGTCCTGTTGCATCATTTATAGCTTTGAGATTAGAGATTTATGTGTATAAACACAAATGTTATCATTAAACCTGCAGATTTCTCAGTTCATTGCTACCTGTCTCAATCACAYTTTCTGATGTCTGTGAGTCAGAGATGCAGACTATATTTTAAACTTTTGCACTATTCTGTGCCTGAGTACTTGTCTTTCTCAGGTTCTTTATTTTGGKCAGTGTCCAGGTTCTGCAACTCCGTGGTATTGTTTACTCAAAGCGCTTTTTAGATCCTTCTGAAATTCCTGATGTGAATCAAGTGGGAAGTCAAGTGAAGGAGTAAGTGCACAAAAGCAGACAAGTGTATTTGCAGCTCTSTTGCTCTCTGCCGTGTTTAAATGCCGAAGGGTTGCAATGGCACGCCGTACTAGCAGTAAATAACTGTAACCCTTYGTGGCAAAATCAACAACCAAAAAGATTTATTGTGACAGTATAGAAACCTCCAATTTTTATTATCTCAGCTTGTATTGTCATTGAAGAGTTGCATAGTTAACTCATCACTGTAGATTAGTTTAGCATATTAGTTCCCAGAAACAAGGGGTGTGTCTGCAGACGTGAAAGTGACTTTCTAAACAGTGTATCTGTTACTTTGTATTAAAAGTTTCATTACTGTTTGGAAAACTCAGGAATCCAAGGTAAAGCTTCAAATTGGTATTTGGTGTCTGAAAGCTCCTGTGTGCATTTCATAGTATTTCCATAAATTCCAGTTGACTTGCATCTATGTGTTTATTTCACCTGGTGCTTTACCATGGCACCTACCTTACCTAGGGCAGTGGTAATGTTTCATAACTGATYATTGGTTTCTCACTCCTTGAAACAATTGCTAACTGGAATTAAGCATTCTTTTACCASACTTTCTAAGGTTCGGCTCAGTGTCTTAGCCCAACTGCATTTATTCGTGCAGGTTATCTCAGATCCACCTCTTTAARAATGGAAGCATGTCAAATGAATGTAGAGCACTTCAGAGCTTTGCAGAAGGAGATAAAAAATGAAAATAATTAGTTATTGGTTATCAAATAGTACAGTGCTGAAATGATTGCTGTTGTGGTATGGMTTATGAAATAAAGTGTGGAATCAGTCACCAAATTGGTCCAGTTGGAAGGCACTACAGGGGACATCTGGTCCAACCGAGAGCACATGGCACACATGGTGCAGGATTGTGTCCTGATGGTTCTTGAATTTCTCCAGTTAGGGACACTCCACARCCTCCCTGGGCAACCTATTCAATGTACAGTCACCKGCACAGTAAAAAAGTTCTTCCTCATGTTCAAGTAAAACTTCTGTGCATCAGTTTCTGCCTGTTCCCTCTTGTCCTRTACATACTGAGGATTCATTTTTTCAGTTTAAATATTTTAGTTTTTCTYAAGCTTTAACATAGAATGTAGACTGCCTCTGAAACTATTCTAGTATCAGCTAGTTCCCAGACCATCAGCATCAGTAATGATGTCCGATGTTGACAGCATAAAGGAAAGGGCCAGTTRTTAAATCCTTGGTTCCCCATGTGCCCTAATGTACTTAGTGAAACTGAATGGTAAATTAGTATATTTATTTTTTTTTTAAATTATTTCTGCTGTCTTTATAGCAGAATGTGGCCTTGTTTCTTCATAATTCAGGACTAAGCAAAATTAGCAAAGTTTGGTGCTTAATGCAACTGGACAGTCAAGTTTTCATCATTTTTGCATTCACTACCATTTCTGAAGTGAGTTGGTTTGCCTACATCTTTATAGAAAGAAATCTATTTCGTACTTATTTTTATGGAGAAATTTCCTSTTTTCCATGGGACTTCATTATGGCATAGATATAATCTGGTTCATTTTTGGACCWTAATAAGTTAATTTGCATTACTTTTGTCACTAGGAATTCAAGTTACAAAAGGAATTATTTCTTAAATTTGACATCTCTTTCAAGTGAATAGAGAACTTAAAAAAGCCTAGACAAATTTGCACCTCTTGTTCCAGTCTTAAATTAAGTCTTAYTTGTTGTGAGGTCATAGAAAATACTTGGCATTAACAAACCTTGCACATCATAATTAAAAGGTTAGCACAATAAGTACCTTTCAGTGTTTTGATGAGGGTTAGTAGATGAAACTCACTGTAGATGGTGCAGATCTCATCTAGTGTGGTCTGGTTTAAATAGGCATCACAATAACATTATTCCAGGTACATGTATGCAGACTTTCTAGGTTCATTAGAGAGTTTTCGATACTTTTAAGTAACAGGAATGAAAAGAGTTGWCTTTTTTGAGTTGACCCTTCATATTAGCCTTGCAGTTCACAATATGAATGGGTTTTAGCTTAACAAAGGAGCTGGGATGTAAGAAGCTCAGGGTTGGGCTTTGGTYGAGTTTCAGACTTTGTGCCTGATGTTTCCTGTTGGATGACTGTAACCTTTCAAGGGCATTCAACTGATAGAGAAGCTGGTGATGTTTAGTCCTGGYGAGTGTGGGTGTTTGGCTTGTGCTTCTTTTATTTTTTTCTATATTTACCATTCACTAAGACTTTTCTCTWAAGTCTGAGCAGTGTGAATTTTCAGCAAAGACTGAAGTGTTTTGGATTCCAAGGCACAGTTCATGTAAAGACTGTGAGCCAGATCGATACTTSTGTTGTGCTGGTCAGAGTTTAAACWTGATCACTRCTGATTAGCATGAGAACACTGTAGCTGCATCTCTTTTTACAGCTGTTAGTGAAGGAGCTCCTGTAATTTCTGATCAAATACTTCTCTTYGCTGAAATGAATGTTCCTGTCCTCGGCATAAAATTTGTTATTGAGCACACAGCTTTTTCCAGGGCTTAACCCGTGGCTCCACTGCTTCATCCTTAGCACTATAGTACCTAATGTTTTTTCATTTGTTGTTGTCACAYTGAATTCTTTAGTGGATGTCCTTAGTTTTTCATCTCCTATGCAAAAAGATGTCTGAGCAGTTTCATTCTCAAAACAGTGTGGGTAATTGACAAATACACCCTCCTGCTTGACCGGCCTGGAATTGATCARGAGATACAAAGGAGAAACTTCCCTTCTGAAGTCACTCTGGATATAAAATAACTASCTGGTAGAAACATCTAAATTCTCCTAAAGGCAAGGGCTTCTATAAGATGAACACAGGGATGACTTGGCTGATTTGAACTAGTAAACCTTTGTGACAGAAGCCTGTGGTTTGAGGAGAACACTGAGTGCATCAGAGCTAGGTAACAATAACAGAGCTGAGCAATAACATCACTTCAAGCCCTTGCATCCTGCAAGGAAATTCAGTTAGGGTAGCTTCTCTGCTTGAAGTACCACATGTTCTCTGTATTGATTGGCCTGAATTGACTGAAGGAGTATTGTTCTCTCCCTTGATTATCTGATTTAATACAATTTTTCYAAAGTTCAAACCTGGTTTACTTTTTCTATGTTGGATAGAATRTTCATAGCTAATCTCTTCTGTACATGAGTTCCTGGAACTGTAAATATAATGTTARAAAGCCCCCAAACTGTAGTTGTTTATGTCTGAAAGCTAAGAAAGAGGCAGATACATAAGAAAACTCATTGAAATTTTGAGTGTCCAAACTCTTTCTTCATGTTTATAGTTTTACTTAAAATTTTACCAGCTTCAAATAGAGTGCTTTCATTGTTGCGGCTTGTTTTCTCTGCATCGGTGGGTTACGCCTTGTTTCTTACAGGTCTTCATTGCCATCTAGTGGCTGTAGTCATTCAAAGGACYTGGTTTAGAATAAAGCTGAAATGAAAAAGGATATGAAACAAAATTGGGATTTTTTTTTCTTGTGTTTTAACCAGTAAGACAAATAGAAAAGAGTACATGAAGAAGAAAGGAAAATGTTATGTGCTTTATAGRGTGCAGTATTACTTAGAATAGAAGGGATTTGTTGGATTTTTGTTTTGATTTTGTTTGGTTGGAGGTTTTTTAAGCAAAGCATTGCTCTGTTGATAAAGCTTGACACTGATTTTTAATCTGTGTATAACTATTCTTCAGGAATAGCTTATAGCTAATGAAAAGAAACATTAACACTGAAAGGATCTTGTATTGTCATTTCAGTTTGAGGGTTSAGAAGYTGACTAGGTATGTAKTGGGCATTTTCTGGCAATCTCAGTTGGTTTCCAAAATACAAACTCATGAGTAAATGCATCTGTTMCTTGAAAATTTATTCCCCATTAAATTGCACTTTCTAACATTGGAGTTAGAAAAGTATTGTTTGTAAAYGACCACTGCCATGATTCCCAGTTCTGAGGTGGAAAGTAGTGTAGGTCTCTGCTTTGCTCCCAACAGTACTTGGRCACCATCACTGCCCTCACCAGTCTAATAAAAATGTGACTCCTGCTTATCTTGTTTCCTTTCCACCCACACATGTCTGTGTGTGTGTGCGTGTGCATCTATAATTTTTAAATGTTATCATGATTGTCTGCAGTAGAAATTTCTTGAAGCTGTCATTTCTTGGATTTGGTTTTCTGTTTTCCTAAAACATGCTGATAGTTGCAGCTACCAGTAGATGAGACTGAAAGTAATTTTTAACAACAGTTGTGGTGTTTACATATAGGTGTGGAGTGATAGGGGACWTAAAAATTAAACTTGTGAAATTTACATGTTGTATATTAATACAAATTTTATGATCCTGACTGCTGTCRTTGCACTGTCTCCCTCACAAATATAAGTCCTCTTAAGATAACTTTTTCTTTAGGGTAGAGAAATTTTTGTGAAAAATTAGGTCGTGTCATCTGTGCTGTTTGAAGTAAATGCAGTTAAAAAGTAGAAAGTGCATTCTTGGTTTTCAGATCAAAAATGTGTGGTACTAAAAAAAGGACTTAATTGGCATGCAACAGAAACTCATGATGTATTTAAATATACCCATACTATATCATGACATATCTACATGAGGGAAGCTGTGACAGGTCAGAGAGCAGAAGATAGGAAGCAAAAGATGTAATTACAAGCTAAAAGGGATACAATGCGTGCTGTATGGTAACATTTATTACTGCTTGCTCTATTCATGGTGATGTTCAAATTTCAGAATCTATTTTTAGATCAGTTAAGTTCCAATAAGTCATTATAATTTCAGATAAGTGTAAATTTCACCTTTCTTGTTCGTGGCTGGGCTAGTCCAAGTATTCTCTTGTGCTGCTACTGTAAAAGTGTTAAATTTTATTTTTGTGTGGGTTTATTGTGTAGTTTCTCAAGTTGACAGCTCCATCAGGAAACATCTGCTTTGCAAATTGRCACGTTTCTACCTGTTGCTTTGGTTCCCTGTGCCCTGCATTTTCAGTTGGAAGAAAAAGATTGCAGAGCTTTCATATGGCTCGTGATTACCTCCAAAAATAAAATACAAGTAGTAAAAACTGATGCAGTAAGCACATGAAAAAATACTAATCGTTAAACTTCCAATAGATTGCTTCTCCAAATGGCGTTCTCTTAGTTCACAATTCTCTATCAACATTTCTTATGCTTCTGAACCATGTGAGGGCAAAAGAAGGAGCACATACTTAATTCTTTGCTGAAATGGATAATCAAAATGGAGGAAATAYAATATTTATTTCTATTTGTTTAGAATTAAATTTAAGAAGCAATTTAATTTGGATGCCTCTAAAATATAGAAATTTTAATGTCATATAGTGAGATACTTTCTGCAGATTCTCTTTYATAACTGGTCCTTTTTCAAATGAGACCACGATACTTTTGAAAGAGGTTCATAGATATTTCAGCTGTATATATATTGGTATAACACCTGYTTTGCTGTGCTGAAAAAAGAACAAATGTAAGTGAAAAATTTTGAATGCAGATTTAGTCAAGAAATAAAGTTTGAGGGGTTTGTAGGCARTAATTTTACCACTGAGACATTTTAAATAGCAGTAAGAGTTATAATTTGGTGATTTCTTTCTCTGGCAAAGAATGTACATTATTTGTGTCCATTAACAAAAATAGTACAAATACTTGTATTTATTTGTATGTATTCTTAATAGATATRTGTTTAATTATAGTATTATTAGCAACACTTTGATATCATCTATTACGAATTCTGTTACTTAGAAAAAGATTTTATATCWTTTAAATAAATGTGATGCTGAAGAAAAGTAATGCTGAGTAGGTGAGAWAAAGAAGTGTTTTACAGTGGTTTTTCATGCTAAAGCTTCCATGGTGTTCAATAGAAATAATATCGTAGAAACATTGAGGTTGGAAAAGACATCAAGTSCAGCCGGTAACTTGTCACTGACCTCTCTTTCCCAGGGCTCCCACAGACACTTCAGAAACTGAACAATTTTCTCCTCTGATCATTTTCCGTGGCTCAGAGCCCACAGTTCAGTTCACCGCCCTGCCCTGCCAGCTCCTGCCCACCGCTGCAGGGCAGCACAATTGGCTGCTGCCTCGGCATGGAGCCTGCTCCCCTTGCCCTGAATTCGACTGTCCCAAGCCAGATGTTAAAAAAAAAAAGAGCCATGCCAAAAGCTGCTCACCTGTATAAGGAGTCATTGTTGGTTTCAGAAGTGCCAAGTTTAACACTGCTCAACAAATTGAAGTCAATAAAGTAATTAGAAACTTTTTCATGTTCCTCTCCCTTCATGCCTTCATAGCTAACCTCACAACTGGATGTACTCATTCCACTTTATCTTTAACCATAGTGAAATGATGAAAAAAACAGCATCTTGTTTGCTAACTAAAACCAAACATTTTAAGCTTGGGCTTCAACRGTTTGCAGAAACTTCAAGATTAATGAATTGTATTATAATGCTGAATCTAATTTTGAACATACTGCTATAAATAGCATCTAGAGTGATCACAGTTAGTGTTGCTGAAAAGTAGACCTTATTTTTCACACACACTGATGAAGACAGTGAAAGACAAAACCATCTATTCCGTTTAAAAGCTGAAGAGAGGTTTATGCATGGACAGAATCAAGGCCCTTCTTACTTATGACAAAATTCTAAATGTTTAGGAATTGTAGTCAGCAGTTGTCCATGAAATTAGTTTGGACAGTGGAATAGTGGAACTATTCTATGTGTATTAATGGCTGCATCATGTTAAGCACCTGCAAAAGCAAAGACTATAATAATTTTTGGAACCTTTTTTCCTTTCTTTCACAATATCTTTTTAAAGTAGAAAGTTTTTTATAGAGATGCAGACTGTTACCTGACATATATTGAACTAGAAAGATACTCATTGAAAGTGCATCAGTGCATCTACTGATTTTTCTAGCTTTTTCTTCTTTTTTTTTTTTTTTTTTTTTTTTTTTTAGCAAGTCTTCAAGACAAATGAAGAGCATGCCTATGTGGTCTCAAATGCAAAGTGTGAATGTGAAAGCATTGGATACCCATCATACCTCTCAGTTCGTTTATCTGGAAAACTGTGTGTAATTCCATAATGTTCTTCATTTTCAGGTTCTTTTGTCCTCCTCCATGTGTGTATCTCATGGGCAGTGGATGGAAGAAAAAAAAAGAGCAAATGGAACGGGATGGTTGCACTGAGCAGGAGTCACAACCTTGCGCCTTTATTGGGATAGGAAACAGTGACCAAGAAATGCAGCAGCTGAACTTGGAAGGAAAGGTAGAAAAACTGAAATAAACTACTCACACAACCACAAAGGATATTACAGCTACATGGTGCATATTTCAAGGAGTGTTCTGGTTTTTGATAACTTTCTTTACATTTTGGGTATTATGTAATGGTTTAAAAAAAAAAATCCCTCAAAAATATTTAGGACAATTGAATAGTTGGATTTGGCTCATAGGGTTATAGAAAGATAGTAACCTTTAATTTTTAGGTTGTTCGTACAGAGTCAATAAACTGTTAGGTTATTTGGTAGGCATCAGTGGCTAATTAAAATCTGGTTTCTGGCCCCAGTTCTGTCCCCTCCTTGACTTGCATGAATGGATAATCTTATCAAAGAAGTATCAGAACATCTGCTGCTRGAAGTAGTCTTGAAGTCTTTTTGCCTAATTGAAGTAGCATCTTAAAAATTTAGTAGATTATTTTTACAGTGTRTAAATTCCTTACAATATATTTTTAAAATACTTTTGTGATGAGTTAAGCATTTGGAATAGAACTAGCAGCAAAAGTGTTCATTTTAGCTGGTTGTTTTATTAAGCAGTATTTTATAGCTACCTGGTATTTCCAGTGCAGTCTATCAGAAATGCTTCTTACATGCTGAATAGGAAAAAAATAATTGAGAGGTTTTTTTGGTCTGTTGTCACCTAGCATAAAAACTTAGCCAAAATAACTTCCTTGTGTTTCAAAACCCAGTAATTTCCCATCCTTTCAAGAATATTTGGCTCAACAGATTTGCTGCACAGGCAACCCATTGTTTATGCCCAGTTTAGTGTCTGTACAGCCCTAATCAAATGTAATTTTTAATAGTGTTCTTGACCCTTCAAAGGAAACTTTGACAGTTGTGGTATCTAATCAGTCATGTTTTACACTCTTCCATTCTAAGGGTGCACAACCCAACACAAAGCTATAACAAACCTCTCTTAAAGTTAAACAGTAGTCATAAATCCATATGGAAGAAATGAAAAAAGCAGTTTCTCATCTGTTTTAATAACTGTTGCCTCAATTTGTCTGTTTTATTCATAATTAAATATGCATATTTTCTTGAACTCAGTTAACTTCAAAGAAGAAACCACAATGTATTTTCACTTACAGAATTATTGCACTGCCAAAACATTATACATATCAGACTCAGACAAGAGAAAGCACTTCATGTTATCAGTAAAAATGTTCTATGGCAATAGTGATGACATCGGTGTGTTCCTCAGTAAACGGATCAAAGTCATCTCCAAACCTTCTAAAAAGAAACAGTCACTGAAAAATGCAGACTGTAAGTATTTCAGTTTTTTTCTTTATGTAGCAAGTAATTTTGTTTCCTACCAATTTTTTGTTTTGTGTTCTAAGGTCTGACTACAAAGGAGATACAATGAAAAAAGATTGTTATATTTAGTACGCATCAGTGTATTTTGAAATATTCCAATATAGATAGGTTATCCTGTTGAATTTTTTGCAGTCACAATTCATTATCTTGTAAATATAAAAGGCCTGCCCAAAACCCCATGTATTCTGAGGAATGAATCCTTGTAGACAGGTGTATAAAGAATGTTCTACCTCAGCTTTCTAAGCCTTTGGATCTCTTTAACTGCCATGTCTGGTGCTTAGAACGTTTTGATCGGTATCAAAGAGATTGCTTTCAGATTGGGATAAATGAGTATCATCCTGTTATCCAAACTGCACTTGTCACGTCACAGCCACCTTCTTACTGTCTCACRCCATTTTCATTTTGTTCTTGTTTTTGTTTTGCATGGTTCTTTTAAAGTAGTCAGTTAAAAAATCTGTGTGGTGATATTTCACCCGGATTATTTTGCTTACCATGTTTTTCAATTAACGATATCTCTGGTGCTGCTAATGCATAATTGGGAACGTTTTTGCTTTTCCTCCAACGTTTTTTGCCTGCATACCGCTGGAGCACCTCAAGAGATACCCTCTTTTTTTGTTTGTTTTTCTCTCTCTTCACTAGTGCTTTAAAAGGCTCTTCCATCTGTGTTGGGCTGGAACCCATGCACCTATGGAATGTGGATCTCGGGGCCGCTAGCTTGGCACATGACTAAAGGCAATCTGTTGCTGTGCGATTCACACCCATGGGCTCAGAGTATGCACTGTTGAATTTTTATTCAGACAGATAGTTTTTATGGACAGTGGAAGACGAACCAAGCATTCTTCAATAGTAAATATGAACCAAGTAGAACAACATACCYGTTCTGAAGGCAAAATTTTACTTGCTGAGGTTTTTTTTAGGGAAGAAAACTTTACATTTCTCTCTTTTGAATGATAAGTAAGTTCAGATCTGAGSACATTTCAAGTTGCATGGTTATAATTTGACATAGTTAAATCYGTCGTCCTTTCARTTGCTTGTGATCTGTAACAGTAATRTCTCTTCGTATTTCAAATATTCTTCAAATGATTGATGCAAGTTGTCTTAAGTACTTCACAAGGGCAAGCTAAAGCTTCTGCTTAATGATCAGCTGTTGGAGAACTATGAACAGGAGGAGTTTTCAGCTGGCAAGTGCTGGCCCATTTGGCTAAATGGCAAAATTCTGTGAGCTAGCATGCCTTTGGAGAACAGCCATTATGTATGTTATTGCATTCATAATTTTATGACTGTTTCTGGTCATATGTAAATATTTTTTAAATTAACCAGTATTTGGTAATTATTTCTTGATTTCAAGTATTCTATGGTTTATGTTGTTTGTGACTTTTTGTTACTGTTCTRTATAACAATGAAGTAATTTTGTAATCTCAAGTCTGTATTTGTTCCTTGCAGTATGTATTGCATCAGGGACAAAAGTGGCACTATTTAATAGACTTCGATCCCAAACAGTTAGTACCAGATATTTGCACGTAGAAGGTGGTAATTTCCATGCCAGTTCACAACAGTGGGGAGCGTTTTACATTCACCTCTGTAAGTAAAAGCAAATCTATGTATTTTTTCACTTCCTTCCCTCCATCCWCACAAAAAAACATCCTGCATTTTTTCCTCCATGTTAATTGCTTATATACATTCTTGTTACTGGGTATATATTTGTTGTAATAGTGTAATGTTAAATGTTTTTCTTATCAAGAAAAACGGTGATTAAAACAAGTAATTCTGAAAATTCCTGTTTCATGCAGTGGATGATGATGAATCAGAAGGAGAAGAATTTACAGTGAGAGATGGCTACATTCATTATGGGCAGACTGTCAAACTTGTGTGCTCAGTTACTGGCATGGCACTCCCGAGACTGGTACAGTTTAATTTCTCCAATGCTGTAATTAGTTTATAGATGGAAACTTAATGTAGTTCTGTAGTTGGGTTTGCACTGTTTACAGTTTTTGGCTTTGTGTGTTCCCTTTGGGTAATACGTTTTATATGGAAAATGGCATTCAGTTTAATGAAAGGGCATTTTTGTATCTGCCGATTATTTCTCTAAACAAAGAACAACTTGCAAAATAAGTGTAGGGAATTTTTCAGAATTCAAGCATGCCGAAATAGGTTAATCTATCTATTTTAAAAACAGCAATGTAGATCCCCCTGTACTAAAATACTTTAAATATTGATACTGAATAGATGAGTAAAATATTTGGAGCCAGTAAGACTATTGCATGTGTTGAGTTCATCACAGCTTTAAAAATACTCAACTGATTTGGATCTAAAAGCAYGTCTGTGTACACCTGAGGTTATATTATACCAGTACCAGCTTGCAAAAACTTTTTTTCATATTTACTAATACTATCTGTTTTAAATCTGAAACATGGGGATTACCTTTGGAACAACCATTAAGGTTTGTGAACCAAAAAATACARAACTACTTCTGGATACACAGTATTAAGTTTTATAAATAAGTATAATTAGAGGGKCTGTTTTATGTCTTAATGCCAGCCTCAGTGGAATTTTATGCGATTAATAATCAGTAGTGGTTCATATGAGMTCTTCTGTGAAATTGTGGTTTGTCATTCCATTAGGAGTTTCATACAAGGCTTTGCTAATTCCACTTCAGCTAGAAACAATCTTTAGAATCCGTAAATATAAAAACAGTCTTTCTGCAGATGTATTTTGCTAGGACTGTCATGAGAAATTCTCTCCCAATACCAAATTTAATGAAAAAAAAGGATAATAGCCTGCTCAGTGTAAATAGTACAGAACGAAAAATTCACTAGATTTTTTTTTTTCCCCCTTAAATTGCATTGTTTGACAGTAAAATSTAGACCAGGTTACACTCCTGATCTGGTTCAAACACTGAAATTCAGTAAGAAGATGTCCCTTTTTTGTGGGCTTCATGTTCATACTTTCTTAYTGCTGTAAGGAGATGCCATCATTTATTATTCCAGAAACCTTATTTTTAAGTAGTAATAGATTGAAACAGATTAGACTAAAGGTTCTTGTTTTGCTTGCCGTTGGGAGCATTTGCCTTACAGGACTGATTGAAGGTTATGCAATTAAAAAAGTAACTTGCAGATACATTAGAAGCAAATGCAAAGAGCATAGAAGAAAAAGTTAACCTTTATATTGCTAATAATACCCTTTATTATCATTAAATATTGCAGAGGACATAGTTGGCTTTGTGAYTGTCAACTTAGAAATCTTCAAGCACTTTGGCTGCTGCCTCTATTAGTGTTRCACAAAGTATTAAACTTCTTTCTAGGAGTTGAGTTAAAATTACAAGCTACAAATGTTCAGTCTCTAAAAGAATAGCTTTTGATTTTTAGAAATAAATTAGTAGAACAGGTCGGAATTAAGTCAGCAGATATTTTTTCACTGAACTGCCAGATAAAAGGAGCAATTGTTCGTTGCAGTTGTCTTTAAGTAATATTTAATGACCAGCTACTGTTGAGATATGCTGTAATCATTGTTTCCAAGACCTACTTAAGGACATCTCAATACCTTTAAATTTAATCCTGATTTTAATTATTCTCCTTCAGTAACCAGATTGCCACAGAATGTTGTTGATCCTATCAGTGGTGAAAGCTTGTATACAACCATATTAATTACTAAGAATAATAATAAGTAATAATTAAAGATAATGTAATTAGTAACTGCTCTTTTACACCAGCAAATGGAACAAAAATAGATTTTGCTGAAGCTTCGATTTTTTTCCCCACTCCTTCAGCAGAAATAGATAAAGTATATATGCATGCAACACATTAATGTAGTACCAAGTGTCACTTTAATGTTGTGTTCTTGTTTCAAAAGCATTAAGAATTATGAATCTGATGTTTATCAAAATGAGAGGCATGGAAATGTTAAGAAAAATTACCTTTCACTTCCTTTACTAACAGTATATGTGTAATAAAGTATAGAAATTGTCCTAAWTATGTATGTACAATTTTCATTCACAGATAATTCGAAAAGTAGATAAACARACAGCATTATTGGATGCAGATGACCCAGTATCACAGCTCCATAAATGTGCATTTTACCTTAAAGACACTGAGAGAATGTATTTGTGCCTTTCCCAGGAGAGAATAATCCAGTTTCAAGTAAGTTGTTTAAAACTATTTCTGTGGATGAGAAGCATGGTTGCAAAGTTTTCCCAGATATTCCCAAAATATGTATGAATGCCATTTTTGCAGTAGGTTTTGAATGCGAGTCTAGTACTTTGTTTTGAAAAGAGAGGATGGAAAGCAATAAATTTCTATCTGTKCCTTTCCAAATCTATTTTTCTTTCCTCATGACCTTCTTCCATGTCTGTCTARAAGATGAATTCTGKTTTCTCCAATGGAAAAAATGAAAASACACTAGAAGCTTGTGCATGCCATCGTAATACTGTGGCTTTCCATGCTAGCAGTATGCCAGTGGAGTTGCACCACTTAYTTGTATGTCAAGTTCTAGGTTACAGCAAATAGAAAACAATAGAGTTGATCATAATCTTGTTTCATTATGAATTCAGCAGAGCCATGTCTTGTTCTTGGCTAAGAGTGTAAATATAGACAGCTGTGGCAGTTGACCACAGTAACTTGAAAAGCCACAGGAATTTGGTTTCTCTGTAAAGAAAATAACTGTCTCAGAAGGTGGAAAAAAACATTGGGTTTTGGTCTATTGTGTGATAGCATGCTTGTAGCACTTCCACATGGAAATTCCTACCAGACCCACAAGGACCCTGCGATTGGCTCAGTTGGTCAGAGAAGGGTGGTAATAACACCAAGGTTCTGAATGGGCTCAATCCTTGAATGGGCTCAGTCCTTTTTTGAGTTGGACCTGATGACCCTTGGGGTCACTTCCAGCTCGAATATTCTGTGGCTCTGTAAAGACTTTGATCAAGTTCAGGATTACATAAAAGTATTGCGATTTTCTTTAAATATTTTGGGGCAGCTCAAATAACAAAGGGTGTTGAGAGATAATTCTGAGCTCCAGGAAKATGGCCACCTTTGGGAAAGACTCAGGACTTCCTTAGAGCAGCTGTATGTTCTTGGGTAAGAAAAGCAGAGGTAGGAAACGAGAAGCTGACATTTAGGATTTCCCTTCATTTAAGGGAAGGGACAGGAAGGCTTGGTAAAGGCTCAGCTGAATTCTATCCTGAATTGGGACAATGGAAAGAAAATATGAGAAGCTTTGTTCCTATTTCAGTAAACACAGTCATCTCCTGTGGTTCTGAAGTGGCTAGACCTATTGTTCTACCCACAGCACACAGCAGAAATGCATACCTGTCAATATATATTCTTATAAAGGAGAATGAACCATCACTGAGAAGACATTGAGATGTACTCTGCCAGCGTCTGCAGTTCTTGTACGAAGTGTGTTAAAGGCTACATTCCTGAATCCTGTAATTTTGTAGATGTGTACATTGGTTTGATTACCTTTGAATGTGCATTCCAATTTTCCAGTGCCACCTGTTGAGAAAATTTTGTTAGTAAAGGAAAGAAAGGATGAGAAATGTCCCTGGAGTCCTATTTGGATGTGACAAGGAGGAATGCTTCTCTAGAAGAAGAATTGAAATCTTTCAAAGATTTCTGTAACAGGAGTGATGTGTTACTGAAATTATTCATGATGTAACAGGATTTTGAGAATACTATGGCATTTGCCTTTCTCTTTGTCTGTTTAGGAAATCTGAAAAAATTCAGTCATGGGTCTCTTACAGGGTCATGCGTTTTTTCATATCCATGGTTTTATATGTCATTCCATGCCAACAATAATTGCAATCAGCCTGTGGGAAAGGTGTCACAGTTAAAAATAGTATACAACAGTTCCTCTTTTGAAGTTAGACTATTAATTCAGAAGCTCCATGTGTTTCTAATGAAAGTATCATTTCTTGAGTTTGGYATCTTGAGTTTGGAAAGACCTGTAGTTACTATCCATGTCACACACTTCCATTGCAAGCTGTTTTCAATGCTTTTTGCATGATCATACCAGAATGAAGAGTCCATATGGAAATACAGCTTTGATTTTTTTAACATCTGATSGGAACAATTCAGATTCTAATTTAAATTTATGTGCCACTTTGAGGAGTGAAGGTTATGGTTACATACCTAGATATCCGTAATGTTTAATGGAGTAAAACACAATCTAGTTACTAGAATTTTTTAGTCCTGCTTTTTTCTACGCCAGTGTTTAACCTATGCTGAATTTTCTTAGGGGTCACTAGGTGGTGAAATTGTTCAGAGAGGCTTCTGTTKCCATAAAAAAAATTGTCTGCATATTTTCTATGTTTCTATCTATCTATATATGCATATACTAATTTAGTTGTCTTTAGGAGGTATTAGATGATCTTTAAGGTCCCTTCCAATGCAAGCCATTCTATGATTTCATTATTCTAATTTGCAAGGCTGGCATTTCAGCTTCCCTCCTGTGTCCTTGCACAAACACTGTTTTTGTGTTTTCCATTCTTTTGTGGASGGTGAAGAACTCTATAAAGAAAAAAAATCGACCAGATGTAAATCATATCTAATGAAAAGTATTCCACTTCAGTCTATAGCTGTTTTAGACACTTTACATAAATAAAAGATCTGTTTTAAAGCACCTACTTCTAGTTGCTGTAGTTTTTTTTTTAATTCCTCTTGAATAACGTTCAAACTTAGAAAGCTGAACTAAAACAAAACTCAAATATAAAGCTGGAGAGGGTGACAGTGTCCTTGGTGAGAGTTAAGGTGTTCTCACAAATACTAGCTTTCCTGTGTTTCTGAAATGTTTGTGAGGGTTTCTCTTGATCATTTTTTAGAGGAAAACATAAGGAAGCATGTTTTTAAAATAACAGACATTAATTGATGGCTGASTTGTTTTTTAGGTCTGTGACTTGACAAACATGTCTACAGATCAGATTTAAAACTTTTCTCTCTCTCTAAGGCCACTCCATGCCCGAAAGAACCAAATAAAGAAATGATTAATGATGGAGCTTCTTGGACAATCATTAGCACAGACAAAGCTGAATATACATTTTATGAGGGGATGGGACCGGTCCATGCTCCAGTGACACCTGTGCCTGTTGTAGAAAGTCTTCAAGTAAGTTTGTAGTTTGTTTTAATAAACTKTTTGATGTGAAATTATTTTTGTCATACTCATTTAACCTTCATGATATGTACCCTTGTGAAATACTGTAGGAAAACTGCCTTAATAGCTTTATTAATGCTGGTTATTTCTTTGTAATAATTTTTCTTACTTACATTTCAGAATACACGAGCCTGTCAATCATAGGAATAATACTAATATTGTTGTGTACAATACGAGTTTTATTTCTGAAAGTACTATGGTGGTGATACCCTTAGGACTTCTGTTTGATTATTTAGGAATTGTTTTTGACTCTTAGCCAATTATAGCTCWGAGAGAGTTTTACTAAAAATATCAGCATTTCACAGAGGAAAAAATTAAAGCTCCCCTTACACCTTTTCTGAAAGATTTTGTTCTCTATTTACAAAGTCTTGTTGACATCTACTCTAAGTGGCCATTATCAAAACTTGGAAATTCCTTCAYAGTATCAAATTAATGGGCAGTATCTTTTGGATGTGTTACTTCTTCATAATTAATTGTGTAGATTGTGTGTGTGKTTTGGTTTTGTCCAGCTGATAGAARCRGCATTGTTTACAGTTCTTATCTGCATGTGAAGAGTTTGGGAGTTTTTTGGTTGGTGGGGGTTTTCTGTTTATTGGGKTTTTTTTGTTTGTTTGTTTTTCTCCTGAGAGGAGAATATTCCTTTTTATTAATACATGTTGGGGGGGATTTTCTACTTCTTTTTCTATTTGCTCCCTTTCCAGTTGAATGGTGGTGGGGATGTAGCAATGTTGGAACTTACAGGACAGAACTTCACTCCAAATTTACGTGTCTGGTTTGGGGATGTGGAAGCTGAAACCATGTACAGGTACACTATTTTCTGTTACTTTCATGGTGTTTGTGTTCTACTGGGTACTTTGAAGAGTGTATACATGTGTACACTTTTCTGCACTGTAGAAAGGGGTCTGGGAGTGCTGGTTGCAGAGGCTTGATATGAGTTAGCAATATGCCCTGGCAGCAGGGAGGGCAAACTGCATCGAGCTGGTCAAAAGGGGTGACTATTCCACTGCACTCTGCATTGCTGCAGCCTTACTGTGAGAACTGTGTGCAATTCTGGACCGCCCCACCCCCCCCCATTTGGGAAGGGTGTTCAGGTACTGGAACATGTCCAGAGAAGGGCAGCAAAGCTGGTGAGGGGCTGGAATGCCCTAGGAGTTGCAGCTGAGGACTTTGGGCTTGTCTAGTTTAGAGAAGAGGAGGCTGAGAGGTGACCTCACTGCTCTCTGCAGCTTCCTGAGGAGGGGAAGTAGAGAGGAAGGTGCTGAGCTCTGCTTCTTGTGACATGTGCCAGGACACACATGGGAATGGTTTAAAGCTGCACCARGGAAGATTTAGACTGGACATTGGGCAACATTTCTTTACTGAGGAAGGTGGTCAGACACTAGAACAGACTTCCTAGAAAGGTAGAGATGCCCTGAACTTCTCTGTGTTTAAGCAGATAAAGGGCATTGGGTCTTTGTMATTTTGGTMAGCCCTGAAGTGGTCAGTGTGTGCTAGTTGAATATCGTAGGTCCCTTCCAACTGAACTGTTCCGTTCTATTGTATTTTTTCAACTTAAGTACATTGTGCTCAGTTGACTCTCCTGTTTTTCAGATGTGCAGAGAGCATGCTTTGTGTTGTTCCAGACATTTCTGCTTTTCGAGAGGGTTGGAGGTGGGTCCGACAGCCAGTCCAAGTTCCAGTAACTTTGGTCCGTAATGATGGCATAATTTACTCCACCAGCCTTACCTTTACATACACACCGGAACCAGGGCCACGGCCACACTGCAGTGCTGCTGGAGCAATCCTCAGAGCCAACTCAAGCCTCATGGCTTCCAGTGAAACAAACACAAACAGCGAGGGAAGTTACACAAATGTCAGCACAAACCCCACCAATGTCACATCATCTACAGCAACTGTAGTTTCCTAACTACTGTTGTTTGTCTGGACTTTTAATTGACTTTTTGTGCTACATTCAAGAGAACTGAACAATTTTTGTGGTTTCATGGGAAAACACGTTTCCATTTTAGGTGATATGATTTGAACCTTGTTACCTGCAAGTGCTGATCTTAAAAACAGAAGCCACAATAAAAAAAAAGAAAAAAMCAACATCCGAAACATAAGAACTTTATTGAAAATCTATTTTTCAGCTGTGTTTTTTTTAGTGGGCAAGAAACAAAAATGTGGCTGGGATACATGTTGAGCAAACTAGAAAACATGAACACAACATAGTTTTTATGGACCAAGGAACTTGTATAAGCTTTAGTATAAAAGGTACATTTTCACCATACCTTTTTTGTATCACAACATATAGTACACTTTTGTTACCAAATAGTTTATATTTTTTTTTCCTCTGAGCTTTTGCTCYGAAGTATATTCAGGTTCCAAGCCTGACCATGCTTGTATAATCTAATTACCATACTCTTCCAGTTTTAAAAAAAAAATATATATTTTTGGTCTGTGGCTGGAACTGTTCCTTTTTTTAAACTGAAGTCTTGTGACTTTTTATGAACTGAAATTGTTTTTATTTCAGCAAGTAGAACCTTGTAAAGGCCAGCATATTTTTTTTAAGATTATATGAAGTCTGTGCAAAAGCTTTAAAAAATGCCTCTGCCTTGCCTGCAATACATGCAATGTATGTTAACTTTAGTGCTCTGTTTTCAGTCATTGTTAATAGTTATTTCTGTTTTTCTTTTTTAAATATGTATTTATAGTGATAATTCATGAGGTTCTAACATTACATGAGTTTTTTTTTTCCTAAAAGTGGCATCTCAAGCAGTCATATTAATGATTGTTCWTGTCACAGGCATATGTTGGTGTTTTTGAAGGGTTGTTACTGGGTTACTCCCCCTCTTCCTTGCTCAGTCATATTACATCCTAAAACGTTTCAGGATCTGTTCAGGTTTTTCTAATCTTGTACATAATTTGTATTAAGTGTAAGTTAAATGTTTTATTTCAAAAGTGGAATGTTCCCAATAACTTCATTTGGCAGCATGTCTTCTGTCTTGTTGGCATGTAACTAAAGTACCATGAGAAGTATGTGCTACAAATGGGATTGGTAGGTGATGCCCTTCATCACTTGAGAATCASAACAAGCATGTTTTTCTTCATACTGTTCAGTAAATTAGGCCAGACTTTTGTGTAACACTTGTATTGAGAACGTGCTTTCATTGTGAAGTGATCATACAGTAATAACTAGAAGTACATTTTATTACATAGAAATGGGCAAATAGAAAATCATAAAAGCACTATGAAGATGTCAACTCCTCCCATCCTTGTTTCCTGTGGGTTTCCCTTTCCCTGCCAACAGCTTGTGCAACATTCAAGTCTTCTCTCCAGCATGAATTCAAGGCTCATTTGCACTTTGACTTTGTTGGTTGTTGCATTTGTTTTTCATTTTGACTTTACCATGTTTTGTCCCTCCTTGTAGACCTGCCTGCTTCGTTGGTATTTGAAAGTATACCCCAGTAGTTCATTTGTAGTCACAGAGCTAGGTATAGACTTGTAGGACAAGTTCTGATAGTGTGATCTTCCTCTTTAAAAGCCAAAATGCAAATTTCATGGTGTGTTCAGCATTTTCTGTACCCTGAAGCAAGAGTCACAACTGCTGTCTAAATGTGAACCTGTGGTTTCCTACAGTGCATTGCTTACAAGCTTACCTGTTGATCATTTTCATRGGGTTTTTATTTCTGACCACTTATTCCAGTTTCAACACCCACCGCCATTTTAAGGCATAGTCTCTGTACCATATTTGTGTACTCTTGATGCTCCATTCTTCTTSTTTGCTTTAGTGCTCTGTTGTATGTGTGGAAACAATGTGTTTAAAGGAAGAAATTGGTTATAAAGCTTGTTAGCAAATAGTAAAATCAGTGCCACTGTCCTCCTGAAATGTGCTTGTATTGTACCACAGGCCTTCATACTCGTTATTCTGTATTACAAAACTTGTTCCCGTGACGTAGTCGCGATGCTGGTTCCTAGCACTAGTGAATGCTGCCTCACCTCATCTCCATTTCAGTGACCAAGGGCAGGATTCATTGTGGCCTTATCTCTGTTTTAAACTGTTTACTGGCATTTACTTGCAAATCTGTTTACCTTTGTACGTGCTGTAAAATTTTGTTTTATTGTGTTGTGGCAGGAATCGTTTCACAGTGTTTTTGTTAGAAGCACATAAATATCTTACAGTACAGCTTAGTTCAAGAGCCACAGATTTTCATCACTAAATAGACTGAGAAGTAAAATAAACAAGAAGGTATTCAAGAAACCATGATACACACACAGCAGGCAAACCATAACAAGCCTTTTAACCTTCAAAGACTATTTAAAAATAGCTTTTCAGAACTTGACACGTGCTTTTATACTCATTATTTTAAATTTTTTACATATAAATGCAATACTTTTTGTATTCAGTTTCTTTACGTGCAGTAATTTTGCCCAATAGATATAATATCCCTTGACTTGTAAAGATTTAGCCTAATATCTGCTGTTCTACACACTACAGCCAAGTGGGTGAAAAAAAAGCCTATTCTGCTTACAAGACCATTTTAAACCACATTTTTTCGTTCGGCTTGTGGCTCTCTTGTTGCCAGTAGTTATTCTGTAGTACAGAAATGGTCTTCCAGGTCCTTACTGTTGTTAATACGTTTAATTGTTCAGATATATTATCTTCCTGAACTTTTTTTCTGTGGGGTAATATTGTTACATATATCGGCCTTGTGAGCTGTTTTCAATTTTCATTATATTAACAATATCTCAAGATTTTGATAAAACTACTTATAGAATGTTTCAGTATGAAACTCTTATAACTGTTTCAAGTCTAGCTGTTAAGTCTGCTGTTAATTCTGTATACATAGAAATTGAGTCTGTGTTCAGAATGTTGTTATAGTTCCAACTATAGGAAGAAAAAGCAAAGTGAGTGCTCTAATTTAGCTATGCCTTTTCTTGTTTTCTGTTGTTTGGAACTGCGTTTCAGAATTCAACACTAGCGTAGTGTTTAATAATCTGCTGCTGATGTTTTTCCTAATTATTTGCCCTGAGGGCATCCCACAACTGTGTTAATAATGGTATTCTGTACTTGTTTTCATTGCACAGATTTTTAAGATCAGAATGGTTACCTGAAAAGACATTAACTCAAGACATAAATTGATGAATTCCCCATATAGAACATATTAATGCCAAGTGAAACAAATTATCTATTGGAAGTRAGCTACCCACTTGTGGATTAAATGACTCCGTAGAGATGTCCATCTTGAAACTAAGATGCTCTTCTATTATTAACCATATTATTTACTTACTTTCAAAAGCAGCTGTGTTTATRAGTACTGAACAAATGTGTATATTTTCCTGTGCCAGACTTTTGACTTTGTTTTCAAGCACTGTACTGTGGGATTGAGTGGCAGCTTTGTTAGAAAAAGAAGTATATTAGGGTTTCTACTTAACCCTTTTAGGACTGAACGATTTCTTCCCTTTAGAAGCTGTAAAATAAATGAGCAGTTCTAACTTTGTAAACATTCTGTCTGTGTTCAGCACTGCGTTTGCCCCATCTGGAGGTGCTATGCTAATGTCATTTTTTTAAAATCCTGTAGCATGTGTATACATTCAGTCTTAAAAGGGTTATTTTTACAAACTGTGCACCTGTAAAGTTTCTTAGCAATAAAGGTAGAAAAATGAGCAAGTTTTTACCATAATTTTGTAGAATTAATTGCTCAGTTCCATATTTCATCAAGAAAACCCCTGCAATATGGGCAGTTTTGAGGATTAAATAAAAGTGAAATGTAAACCACATAAAAGTGTTCTTGTCAAGTGTACTCTGTGTGTGTATGTGCATATACTATTGGGTTTCATTTTTTTCTGCAAGGCTAAAGATAAAATGCCATGTTACTGTTTCTGTGACAAATATAATTGAACATCTGTACGATGATACAAAAGTACTTACGATTTGAACAGGTGTTGAAACTTGCCACATTTTTGTTGATTTTTTTTTCATTGTTAACTGAGGAATGTGGGTTTGTTTTTTGTTTGTTTCATTTTTTTTCCCCCAAATGAACAGTGAGGTCACCTATGGAACCAGAACAACACAAAAGAAGACCAACCCTGGGAGTGAAAAGTCGTCAAGTACTTGTGAGGCTGTGCGCACTGGACTCCACTTAATGGGATATGGAATGTCCACCCAAAAATTAAATTGGTTTCATTATTGCTTGTATTATTGCTGAAGTTAGATAAGAAACTGTTTTTTAATAATGTGTAAAAAAAAGTTTCACTTTTTTATATAATTTATTAAATAAGAAAAAATGAACTGTGTTTAATTGTTTAACTTTAGCAACTTTATTATTGCAAATAGMGTACCTGACTCCTTTTAATCCTATTCTTAGTTGCGGGCTGTCCAACTTTTCATTCAGTTGGTTGATAATTAGAGCAGAAATTTTTAGCAAATTAGCATATTTCTTGTTTTGAGACAAYAGTGGAGCTGTAAGGAACAGGTAGAAATTATGTTCTGTCAATTCACAAGCACAAGGGACAAAGTCACTTGAGAAAGTTTTTCAAATCGGAAACGGACACAACAGAGAATATAGAAAAGCAGAAGCCTACCAGTACTAACTAGTTTTGTGTTAAACTTGTAGTTCTATCAGTTTATCCATGAGATTGTGAAGGAGCTGAAAGTGGTTAAGTAGAGAGTCAAGAACAGCAACAAAAATGACAAAAAAATCTCTGGTTTTAATGGCTTTAAAGAAGATTGCTATGTTTTCTTTTTAATTTTTTTTAGTGTCTGCAAAGGTGTTTGCATTAAGATACAAAATAGAAACTCAGTAGATGCAGAACTTTTTTTTTTTTTTTTTTTTTTTTTTTTGGAACAGGGACGGAACAGTATGGGCAGATTGCCCCGAAATTATTTTCAAGACCCTTCAGTCATTTTCTGGAATGATAAATTGATTATTCTGGAACAGAATAGAAATTAGATCTGAGGTTTTGGCAGRGAGAATGGTCACTTGCAGAACTTTATTGTTGGTATGATTGGAAGAAACTGCATGGGATGCTTCTGTTCTTAGATTAAGAACTACAGATAGAAAAAAATCTTTTCATCTAAGCCTTGGCAATTAGCTATATAGGTACTC